GTTGGGAAACACTGCTCTAAAATGTCCTGATGTATCCTACCATCACTTTCTATCTGTACTGGCCATTCATAACGCTGTAAGATATTCAAAAAGATGCTCTAGTGAGATGCTGTAACCCTGAGCGGAGTGAGGCAGTGGGGCTGCTGGCCTCATGCAGTTAGACGGTGCTTTGACTGCGACTCTAATTAGAGCTGGAGGAGAACACTGACACTTAATGAGGGGTGTAGGAGACATATGCTCACACACTCGCGCACACACATATAGAGCACAAGAGAATGAGGGAGAATGCAAGTGTATGGAAATTAGCAAGAGAGGACACACACAGCGTTCAGCGTGGAGAACAAAGTCTTTGAGAAGGAAGTCAGAAGCTGGTGAAATTATTTTCTTCAGTGTTTTGCATAAAAAACAAATGTGATGGAAGTGGCTCACACCTCTAGCATTAAGAGATGTGTTTCTTTATTTAGCTATTTTTTAGTACTAAAATACCAGACGTAAGCTAAATCTGACAAAACCTCTATTTGGGGATTACTGGGATGTTCTCAACTGGATAAATTATTCATAGTAATTCTGTATTCATGTATTTCTTAATTATGAAAATGCTAAATAAATAAATAAATAAAAATAAATAAATACATTTAACAACTCTTCCCTTTTAGGATTTTTTTTTTTATATTTTTGAATGTCCTTACCTTCAAATGTCTGGGGCAATTAAGATTTTTTAATGTTTTTGAAAGAAAACATGCTCACTTATGCTCAATATGTTTGCATTTATTTGATCAAATATACAATAACAACAGCAATATTCTGAAATACTATCACAATTTAGAAGAAATGTTTTCTATTTAAAATAACTATTTTAATATATTTTAAAATGTCATTTATTCCTTTGATTGCAAAGCTGAAATTTCCTTCCACACGATTTTTCAGAAATCATTCTAATATGATGATTTTTTTGCTCAAGAAACATTTCTTATCATCATCTATGTAGAAAAATGTTGTGCTGCTCAACATTTTTGGGGGGATTCTTTCATGAATGGATTTATTTGAAATAGAAATATTTTGTAACAATATAAATGTCTTCAAATGTCACTTTTGATCAATATAATGCAATCCTGCTGAATAAAAGTATTCATTTCTTAAGAAAAAAAATCTTACTGTTCTCAAACCTTTGAATGGTAGTGTGGATAGCTAGGAAAATGTGTACAGATTATTATTTGTGCACAAATTTTACAACAGCGAACTCAGAGCAGGGTTTCTTTCATTACGGAGCCTGGAGCAAGTGAAGAGCAGGCAATGGAAAAACCTGGAGACTTTTTACAGAACTCATTAAATACCTTGGTGTCATTGAGCTGGGCCAACCCCGTGCAGGCGTTCGCCAACAGGAAATCGCCACTCAGAACGGCCATCTTGTTCCCAAACTGCATGTCTTTGAGGGGGCCGTCTGAGTTCGTCCACTCCCTCAGATTAACAATCCCACGATGCACCAGGAAGGCTGTGTGAATCAGCTCTGTGATCTCAGCCAAGTTCCTCTGACTGACAAAGAGACAGAAAGAGAGAAATATTGTGATTCTGAGAGGGTATTACATCTATAAACAGTCCCAGATGCTATAGCACACTTTATACGGAAAGGGAGTGATTTTAGCCCAAATATTCTTCTGCAGAACAAATAAACCAGAGAGAGTGTCAAGTGTCCTGGTGACCATAATGCACTTCACAAAATACCAACTGCCACTGATTATCAGACGTGCCCTGCCCGATTATCACAACGCCATCACACGGACGTTATAATCAAATGTTGATTTGCAGGACCATAATCAGCTTGGACCATTGAGGTCTCAGCGATAACCACCTTCCAGACACAAGACAGAGACGTTAGCACTGATGACCACTTACCCCTCCTTCAGATTGAGAGACGTGGAAAGTAAAGAGGGTGAGAGAATGAAGAAAAAGCATATTTGATGAAGGGATTCTCTTCAGTTTGGCAATGTGAGAGAATCGCTGTGGCCGTTTCTGCTCACACACACACAAGTGCTAAGTCAATGCTTGGGTAATTACAAAGCACTGCAATAATTCTTGTTGTCATTAAATGCTGTTCTTTAATGGACCATCTCCTGGGCTCAATCATCCCTATTGTGCAGAGCTCTCTTGACCATGTAGCCACCGATCCCGGGCAGTTTCACTTCAGCTGACACTGGCACGTTGGCTGAGTTAATACAGATCTGAGATGTTGATGTGGCTTACAATGGATGAGGATTACTGGGGAAACTCAAACATACTTTAAAGAAGTGTAATTGTATGTATCTATCATCTCAGGTCAAGAGTTGTAGGGATCTACTTGTCTTTTGTTATCCTGATAAATACGATATGTCCACTTTTTGCAAGCCTAACCAATCCTGAAGGATACAGTTAAGTCCCACCCAACATTTTTCTCAATGAATATCCTGTTTCGCTCAGAAATGCAACTGATTATGGAAGTAAAATGTGTAGTGAATGGCATTTTATGTTGACTATAAATGCAGGTCAAAAGTTGTCTTCTACAAAAGATTTGAGATATCAGAGCTTGAAAAAGTCTGTAGGACTACGTTTACACGTGACACGGGTCTGTTCTTGAAAGGTATTGTGAACAGCCCAAATCATATTAAATGTGACATTTTTTATTAAAATTTAAAAATTACTGAATTTAAAAATAAAGAATTAAAAAATACAGTGTGAACTGACCTAAAATGCTTTAGATGTGACATGTCATTTAAAATAAAAAAATAAACTAGATTTTAAAATAAAAAAACTAAATGAAAAAGAACAAAAATTAAGATTTTAAAATACATGAACAGCACAAAATGCATAAAATGTGACATTTTAAGTCAGTTTGTAAAATAATGTAAACAATTACAACTGCAAAAATGAAATGTAATTAAAAATTAAGAAGAAATTAAAAAAAATACAGCATGAACAGTCTGATATAATGTTTTATCATTCATAATCATTCACTATCATTGGCGTGCTTCATTTCCATTAGTGTGGAAGACAATGAGACCACAGAATGCCAATAATACAATTTCTGCACTTTTCCGCCTCCTTGCCCTTGTTCTTAATTGATGTGTAATTTCACGGCAGCCTCCACGGAACATGAGGTTCATAATGATTGCCTCCATTTATTTAATTCAGATTAACATGCCAAGTTTGACTATTTTAATGCCACATTTAAAAGTTCATGTCAGTCAAAAAAAAAAAAAGGGCAACATTCAGCTGCAGAGTGAATGTGGCCAAGGTGTGCGACTGTGCGTGTGTCCTTCTCAACACCTTGTGGCTGCCAGCACTGAGTTGCTGATTTGACCACTCATTAGTAATAGTGATGATATTTGTGACTAGTGTTTTTTACTTTATAGTTTTCTGTACTGAAATGATTGTTATAGTCTTTGTCTCCTTCATTTTTGGACTGGCTACAGTGTTTTGGATGTGTGCAGACAGACGGAGTTGAATCGAAATCTAATTTCCCCCCAAATCTGCTGCTATGCTGTCTACATTTTTACATGGCACAGCTGATTGGTTCTCTCCTGTATCGGTAGCCAATAATTGAGCTCGCTGCTCAACATTCAAATATATGACTAGAAGGGATGGGAAGTCCGGTTCTTTTCCGCGAACCGGTTCTTTCGGACAGTTCGTTTCAATTATCTGGTTCATCAGCGCAGAAACCATAATCCACTTACTATACATAATCCATTGCAATTTATTTGTTATTAAATAAACGTACGTTTCGACAGATTGCTCTTCATTCAAGTCTTTGGTTTACCCGCGCTCATAACATTAGCACAGAATCAGTTGTCCAAAAGAACCAGTTTGATTCAGACGTGCTGTGTCAGTCTAGTAGGCAAGAAACGGTTAAATCGAACGATTCGTTCGCGAACCGGACATCACTAATGACTAGTGCTTGCCATAGCAGTTGCAGCTTGCTTCAGAACAGCGAAATCAACATCTAAGATAAGTGAATGCTCTTCTAATCCATATCGATGTGTGTATTGCGTGGTCTGCCTAATTTAATTCAAAAATGAGCAACCATAATCAAGTTTAAACTAAGTGTCATGTTAGCAGTTTGCATTGTATGCAGGAGCGAATATTAAGCATATTAGCAGCAGCATTTAGCATCCGTGTTTATACAGCTGGAGCAAAACGCAGTTTAGAGCATATGTAATCGCTCTGAGGACACACCAATAGTAACGGACATGAAACAGGTTAAATGAAATAAACATTCTTGTGTATGCATTTCAATGGGGGTTCGCCATATACATCGGTGATTATCCCAGTGTTCACATTCGTTATTTCTAAGGTTGATGTTTTCATTGTGATGAGTGTGTGGTTGTTTTCAGCTGCACGCAGCGTCAGAAGCACACGCTTATCGCAGTCATATCAATGACAGTGTTGCGGGAGACGCTGAAGGTCACTATCTACGGCGGTAACAGCTAGTTCCGAGTGAAATGCATTATGGGTAGTGTAGTTTGGAGAAATGTGCTCGTGTGGCTAGCCAAGGCTCACATAGTCATAGGCCACTAGTGTTAAACCGGTCGACGTGGTAGCCAAGCCTCACATAGTCATAGGCTACTAGTGTTAAACCGGTCGATGTGGTAGCCAAGGCTCAAATTGCCATAGGCCACTATTGTTAAGCCGGTCGGCGTGGTAGCCAAGGCTCACATAGTCATAGGCCACTAGTGTTAAGCCGGTCGGCGTGGTAGCCCAGGCACACATATGGTAGCCAATGCTCAAATTGCCATAGGCCACTAGTGTTAAGCCGGTTGGCGTGGTAGCCAAGGCTCACATAGTCATAGGCCACTAGTGTTAAGCCGGTTGGCGTGGTAGCCCAGGCACACACAGATACATGTGGTTCACATGGCTCTTCGGAGCAGCCACAGTACATATGTCTTGGCGATAGATCTGCTTGTTGGGGGGGTTGTTTTTGTTTTGGCTTGTATTGTCCCTTCTATGTCCCCTGCTTTGTGGGGGGTTATTTCATGTATATTTTATTTGCAGCAGCAATATTTCTTACATGCTCACAGCAGCATGTTGTGGATGTTTTGGCAGTAGTAAGTCTCGGTACTTGCGGTCTGTAAATACATTAACATTGTCATGTACATTACCATGCCAATCCCTCAAGTAAAGTTATGAATGCTTTGAACTTGGCTCTGAAGACATAAATAATGTCACTTAATTTAAAATGACAGTTCATTTTTACTTTGAAAACATCAGAAAAATTATTTTTTTAAATTAAATCAAATGTGTGTGTGTGTGTGTCTGTGTCTGTCTTTGTATTAAGTGAAAAGTGAATATTAAGATTTTTAAATGTTTTAAAAAAAAATTCCAAAGCTGATCAAAAATACAGTAATAATGTGAAATATTATTATAATTTAAAATAACTGTTTTCTATTTAAATATATTTTCAAATGTAATGTATTCTTGTGATGACAAAGCTGAATTTTCAACAACCATTACTCCAGTATTCAGTGTCACTCTAATATCAGTATCATTCTAATATGCTGATTTGCTGCTATCAACATTGAAAACATTGTAAGATGCGCGTTAAATATCGCATGCAATTTATCGTGCAGCCCTAGTAAATAGTAATACATTTTCTTACTTTCTTTGATGCTTTCTTGAGGCTTTCTTTGATGCTCAGCCTCAAATTTCTTTGATGCTTTGATGAATCGAAAGTATAAACGAACAGAATTTATTTGAAATATAAGTTTTGTAACTCTATAAATGTGTTTACTGTCAATTTTGATCAATTTAATGCAACCTTGCTGAATAAAAGAACTAATATCTCATATCTGACCCAAACTGCTGAACGGTAGTATAAGATTTCATTTTCAGTTAAACATTTGCACTCATTAAATTTGTCAATCAGTTAGATTCTGTAATGTTCATAACAAAAAATAAATAAGTACAAATAAATAAACATCAATGTCAAGTTGCAAAAAATCTGAATATTGCAAAAACAATTTGCGAAAAAAGCAGCAATTCCATCTCTTTCAGGGAAATTGGTGCAATAAAAAAATGCAATTATTCAGTCGCATGACTTGAGGCACTTCTCTGAAGCAAATCTTGTAATTTATTCATTTTTCCATCATAGTTTGTGTGCATGTCTTCTTACCGAATTAAACAATGTAACCATCTTAAGTGAGTGTATCATGCACTTTTTAGAAATTTCATTCACATGTTGGTCTTTCCACCCAGTGAAATATTCAAATTTCCTTTAAAAAAATTTCTTCCACCAGGATGCCATAATGTCTAATAATCTAAAACAAATTCAAGAGGACTTTAGGAGATAACAAAGCAAACTTTTAGTGACTACAATGCTTTTTTTCAGCTTTCAGACACAGCCAAAGTCTGCTGAATGTCACACTCGAGTTTCATAGGTCCCTTAAAAGAACTGTCGAGCAATCATTCAAACAGACGTCTCTCTCAGCAAGATGCACTCGTGCATGTATGCGATCACCCCACCCCCCCAAACCATGAGCATTTCTGTCAAAGTGAACACACACACTTACCATGCACACACAACCACACAACACAGTGTGTGTGAGAGAGAAAGTGACTCGAAGGGACATTTTACAAATGCTGCATGTCAAGGAGGAGGAGAGCAGCACAGCAATCCATCCATCACCCCCATCAAACACACCTCTAACCAGGAACGAGAGAGCAAAAGGTGTCATCGGAAGAGGGAGGGAAGGGGGGAAGTTGAAAGGAAAGAGAGACGACTGACAAAGAAAGAGAAAAATACAGACAGAGAGGAAGAAAAAAAGCTCTATATGTTAGAAAGAGGTATGCCTTCCTTTTGCTGAACACAAAAGGAGAAATTTAGAAAAAAATTCTGGTCTAAAGCACAATAATAGTATCACAAAAGGGGTCCAGACAATGTGTGCATCATATTTAAATTCCCCTCCAGAAAACTGTTAATGGGATCATGGAGTTGAACAGTTCAGTCCAACTGTAATAATTAATTGTGAATCAGAACAACTGATTTACTAAATAAAATTAAAAAAAGATTCAGAAGAATGTCTCATTCATGAATGAATCTTCACTACTTCTCTCTTCTCTCCTAAATTTTGATCTAATTATCAGCAAACTGAACAGTTCAGTCCAAATGTAAATGAATCACTCAGAATCATTCATTGTAAACCAGATAAACTGATTCATGGAAAAGATCCAATTCAGAAGAACGTCTGATTAATTAATAATTAATCATCCATAACTGTCTGGTTTGGTTCAGCAACCAAATCAGACATCAAGAGACTACAACGGACAGTCAGGACTGCTGAGAGGATTATTGGTGCCCCTCTGCCCAGCCTCCAAGATCTTTACATCTCCAGAGTGAGGAAAAGGGCTAAAAAAATCACCTTGGACCCCTCACACCCAGCCCACACTCTCTTCGAACTGTTGCCTTCTGGTCGGCGCTACAGAGCACTGACCACCAGAACAGCCAGGCACAAGAACAGTTTTTTCCCACAGGCTAAACTCAGTCTGAACAATTAATCTTTCATAATTATACATCGTCCATCACAACTAACATAGTTATATTTATATTAAACTGCACACTTTGTAAATAACATATCTGCACACTAATAAACATATCTGTACATTTATCTAAACAATTAAATTTTTTCCTATACTTCTATTTCTGTATATAGTACATTATTCAAATTTTTTTTTTTTTTATTATATTAGTGTTATATTACATCCCTACTGTGTTATTCCTGTGTATGTCTGCACTATGTTTGTACTTTCTTCTACACTGGAAGCTCCTGTCGTCAAGTCAAATTCATTGTGTGTGTAAACATACTTGGTAATAAAGCTCTTCTGATTCTGATTCTGATTAATTCAGAAATTTGTCTGACATCATTCTCTTCTATCTTAAATTTGGTTCTATTTGTCACACAAGACAAGCATACAACTTTAGAAAATTTGGAATATAGCGCATTATATTGAAAAGAATAGCCAGGATATTTTTCATTAATTCACTTTTTGTGTTCCACAGAAGAATGAAGTCATACAGGTGTAAATAATGACATTTTTGGGTAAACTATCCCTTTAAATGGGTGTAGTTGTTTGGGTGCATGTATGTGTGTTTCTCCATCACTCACTTCACCCTTTTTTAACATACACACACACACACCCACGATGGGTCAGCCTTGAGTCTTACAAGTCTCAGGGCAACTACATCACCATCTTGTTTCCATGACACCCACCTTCCAGCTGTGGAACTATGAGGTCACTTCCTCTTTAGTGGGAAATGTGGGGTTGTAGAAGCAAGAAAATGAGGGGAAAGTGTAGCGATGAGTGCTGGTCCCTCCTCTCACTTGCTTTGACACTCTCTTTCCCCACTCGCCGAGAGAGAAAGAGTTCATTCAGACAGCTTGCGCATGCACACACACACACACACACTCACTGCCAAGTACAACAGCCGCTTCTGGTAACTCCCTGGCACTGCAGCCAAAGGACTTACACACGCACACACACACCAGCCTGTTTAGAGCAAGAGTCCTTCTGAAGCGCAGCAGTGGAAGTGGTTGCACAAGAGTGTGTGTGCTGCATGTGTCAATTTCTTGTCCTTAACTGGACATAATTTACCCTACACACACTTTCATATCCTGTTTCCGATGATCTGTCTATTACACACACGCATGCAACACAGTCACCATAGATCTTGTTTTCCAATAAACCTTGTTCTCACCGAATTCAATGCTACGCTTTAAAAACAAATGTCATGCTCTTTTTTCACTTTCGCTTATGGAAAGAGAAAACGGCTACATTTCTAATTGGCCTCAGGTAAAATTGGAACCTCATCGTCTCTGAAATACAATCTTCAGCGGCCTGTAGCTTTCAAGGTGTCCAAATTAAAAACTTCTCTAAACCTGATGCCCGGATACCGGCCAAGAATATGTTTTTTCTTTTTTAAATTTTTATTAATCTCTCTCCACCTCTCCCACCACGAACACACACAAGCAAGCACTTATATGCTGACATTGAATACTTTTGGGAAGTTGACATCTCCTGCGGTGTGATATGCTATACTCCTAAAACTGACATGCTATACTATATCTAAAACTACTGATGGCAGTCTGTAAAACAAAATAATTGGGGTATGATATCAAAACGGCTATATTAAAATACAGCTACAACTTTAAAAACCACAACTAACGCATTGTGACTTGAAGATCCTTCATCAGGGTGTGGATTTGAGCAGGCAAACTTTATTTAAAGAGTTGAAGACAACTTTAACAAACAGTGTCCGCTGTAATATAATACCTCACATGGTTTGTTTCATAGACTACAAAGGCTTCTCCACAGAGCAGCAGAGAAGGTAACTGTATATTTTTTGATAGCTTAAACAACATTTTGCCAATTCTTTTGTAATTATCATGACTTTCCATAACCTTGAGAGACTGCATGGAATATTTGTACTTTTAAAAATGCATTTGTCACCAGACCAGACCATTTAAAATGATCTACTGAGGGCAAAATGTGTCCTGTAAAGCCTGAAAGAGTTTACTGAATCTTATATTTTTAAAAAGTTTGCATATGTGTTTTATGTATGGGACATCAGGATTTTATGGTCCATATATTATGATATAGTGAGAATATGGAGCTGATACTCAAAGAGTAAAAAAACTCTGAAACTGAGCAAAAATATGCAGTTGGTGTAGATGTGTTATTTATATGGCTAAAAAGTAAGATGAAAGTCTCAAGATTTCACAGCAAAAAGATACGTTTACTACGTGGACATTTTTAGAATCAAAGGCCCTTTACTTACTAAACAAGTATTAATTATTAATCAGGATGCAAATAGTAGATTGTGTGCAAGAGGTGTTTCAGCAAGAGGTGTTTCAGCAAAGTTTTGATCATGTTGATAATTTAGAGACCTAGAAAATCATGTATTAAATATGATACAGTTGGCTTTACAAGGTTGCAAATGATGATTTAGTCTATGGACATGTTATGTGTAAACTAGCAATGTCCATAGATAACACAAACAGTCCTTCCCCTCTCCATATTCTTTTCTCTTGCTGTCTTTCAAACATCTTTCTGTCTGGTCTCCCTCCCTCTCTCACTTTTACTAAGCCTTTGTGTGGTAGCAATCATTTCTCACTAATGGCCAAAGCTACAAGCTGTTAGAACCCCATGACCCTTAGAAAGAGAAAGAAAACAAAAAGTAAAAAAAGAGAAAGAAAGGTATCTTTACCTGGGGTAGATGCCGCTGACCATACTGTCACAAATCGGGTCACTGTTACTGGGACATGGACCGGCTGCTTTTGACATTAGCAGCACAATGAGACCTCGCATTTGTAGATTATTCCGGCTGTCATACACAAATCCTCTATTTAAAAAAAAAAAAAAAAAAGATTACATATCACATAATATGCATTTTTATAATTAGCTGAATTAAATAGAAAATACATTCGGAATGTTTTAAAATAAATCAGTGTTACACGATCATTTAGAAATATTTCTAATATGGTAATTTTGTTCTCAGAAAACATTTCTTATTATCAATGTTGAAAACAGCTGCACTGTTTACTTTTTTTTTTTTTGGAAACCGTGATGCATTATTTTTTTTTCAGGATTCTTTGATGAATATGAATATTCATGATGAATATTTAATGCATCCTGGCTGAATAATAAGTATTAATTTCTTAAAAAAAAAATACATGTAAGTGTTCCAAGGCAACAGCGTCAACTGCACATTTTCACTGAGTCATATGTGAGATCCATTAATGAGTCAGGCTTACTATTGGTCAGTACTCTGTGCTGATGGTCATGGTGAGAAATAATGGTGATATGAAGAGAAGAAATGTGATTCATCAGCTAATTAAAGAATCATAATGATCAAAAGCAGCAAGAGATTGTAGAGTTTCTCCAGGATCTGCTTCAAAACATTGAATTATAAAATAACACTTGCACTTAAAGGTGACATATCATGAAAATCTGACTTTTCCAGGTTTTAAGTGCTATAATCAGGTCCCCAGTGCATCTACCAACCAAGGAAACGTGAAAAAGATTAACCCAATCACTTTGTTTAGGTAAGCCTTTTTCTGCAAACGTCTGAGAAAACGAATGCGTCTGATTTCGCTCCCTTGGTGACGTGGCAAAGGGATCTCATTATAATATTACCGCCCCTTAATCTGTAAACTTCCACTCAAGGCACCATCATTTTGATTTCGCAAGCGACAACGTTGTACCAGTTCTAATGCCATGGCGAAAGTTTGAGCAAAACATGCTAACCGTTCTGTCATTGGCTGCACAGACGAGCACAGAACACTATTTAGAGTCCCAGCCTCAGAGGAGACAAGAGAGCAGTGGATTTATTGATTTATTTAGGCTACTGTATATTGCTGCTGCCACACAGATCTAAAATAAACAAGCGATTTATTTCCCAGCTGTTTACCTTCAAAGACATACCCGACTGTTTTTGTAACTCGTGTGTTTTTAACGTAAACTTGTGTGTGAAAGAGAACTTAGTTAATACTCACATGCTGTGACAGCCGCTTTCTGTCTGTGTGCTTCGGATGTGTGCGCTCATAAAACCTTATATCTGAAGTTTAAACTCATGTGGTTTAAAACACATGATTTCAGCACGATAAACATGATAATCAGAACCAAAACAGATGTTTTTTAGCAGATACGAGCTGTAAAGGCGCAGCTCTATTCTGGAAAAGGGGGCGGGGAGCAGCAGCTCATTTGCATTTAAAGAGACAGGCCCGAAAAACAGTGTTTCTGCTTCCACTCAAAATAGGCATTTTCAAAATTATATAATAAATGATCTGTGGAGTATTTTGAGCTGAAACTTCACAGACACATTCTGGGGACACCAGAGACTTATATTACATATTGTAAAAAGGGGCATAATATGACACCTTTAAGGCATATAAGAACAGCCACTATAAAAAGTAACTATTTTTATTTATATGTTGTTCTATAAATCAAGGCCATATAACTCTTTGCAGATATCTACAACTGTCTAAAAATTTAAGAAAACTTCAGTTTTCTTCTAGAAGGTCAACATGGGTCTGGATCTGAACCTCTTGAACGATAAAAAATACACTTAAAATAAATAGACTGGCATTGAAGGAGGGACCCAAGATGTATCTAAGGACCAGAGTATATTCACACAGTGTTTGGAATTGACAAAAGCATTTACTAGCAGGTGTGGCTCTCAAAATATCCTGTTCCTACAACAGCAGCCAGGAACAGTTTGAAAACTGTCTGTGTGAATAAGTCAATAAATTGTATCCCCATTTCTATTCTCATCGTAGCCATTAATACCACCTGTAACCATAGTGACAGTGATAAAATACATTTTCATGGCCAAATTTAACCCGTCACTTCAGTTAACATATGAAAAGTGTGAACAGAATCATTACCCGGATTGACAGCTGTATTATGCCGTTATCTAAATGCAGCTACAGAGGGTTACATGGACTGCTGAGCAACTACCCAGAACACCCTAGCAACCGCATAGGTGTGCCCTAAAAAATACTTGGATGGAATTAATGAGGTCATAAATAGAAACACACACACACACACACACACACACAAACACTCAGAACTCCTTAGCAACCACATGGCAACACCCTAGCAAGCACTTGCAAAACCTTAGCATTATAGTAGTGACTTCTGCACATGCAAGAACCACAAACCACTTACAATTCTTCACAAAATGTAAAAAAAAATCTAGTTCAATAAGAGGTCATTCACACAGAACACATTTTTGCAGGTAGTGAAATGAAAAAAAATCAAGGTCTATAGATGTTTTTTTTTTAAGCTAAACTTTTAACTTGAATGTTGTCGTTTTTTTAAATGCCATTTCATGCACAAGACGAGAACGCAACATTCAAAGATGCCCATCTAGAGCATGTTTACATAGAAAAACAACAAAGCAGTGCAGTGGAATACAAAAATACGCTCTGTTTGAACAGCATCTAAAACCAAAATTTGACTAATACTGTCATCTGGCAACTTTATGAAAATAAAAGTTTCTAGTATGTGTGTGTCACTGTCGAGCCTCACCATATCCTAATTGTGTTTAAATGAAATGCACAGTGTCATATTAACGAGCCAGCATGTCGTTCCAATACAGTCTCGCCCTCTTCTCACCTCCCATCTCTCCATCTTTCACTGTCTCTCTCTCTCTACGGAGGAGGAAACAGACACACAAAGACACTTGCGGGCTTGTTAATCACAGTTCCACGAGGGGGTCTCAGAGGCAGAGGTCATCGCTGTTATGAGCTAGTCTGTCTTTCAACATCATGATTAATTTGCATTTGTATGACAGTTAGTGGTTGGTTCTGTGCAAAGGCGTTTAACCCCACTGACCCTTTACTTGGCTCTATTATCTGTTTAAAATATACATACAATACAAATAACTTTCTTATAATTGCCTCCTAAGGACAGAGTAGCAAAAATGACCAAAGGCCTCTTTGCTCTGAAACAAATATTCTGCATTTTGATCATTTTAGAAACACTTAATAAATATTTCAACCGACAATTCCCCCACATAAAGAACCGCTTTTTTAAAGGAAAGTTGTGAGAAAACAGCCGACTATCTATAATATAAAACCTAATTTTTTGTCTTCTAAATGAGCACCCTGCAATCCTATTATATTTCAAACTAAATTAAAATAACATTTATAGCAAAAATATGAAACTCTGTTGCAGATATACATTTTACGACAAGGTGTAATATCAAAAACAGTGACCTTGAAACTAACCTTTTTAAAAATCAAAAAGAACACAGTAAGGGGCCATTCACACAGAAGTTTTTACTTTTAAAAATGCAAGACATAAAAACCCACAAAATTCTTTAAAAATTTTTTGTACAAGATGCTGCAAAATATGCAAGATACAAGCATAATCACTTCCATCTAGCGCATGTTTACATAGAAAAACAATGGAAAAGCAACACAGTGAAATGCAATGTTCTGTGTGAATAGCCCCCTAAGGAATGATTTACATAAAACACAAGACGCTGGGCCGTGGAATGAAAAAAAAAAAAAAATTGCAGTTTTTTTACTTCAGCGCCATGTTTTTTAGAACATGTGCAATAAAATAGACGCAATATACACAAGCGCAACGATCAAACACATTTGTCTAGTGAATGGAAAAGCGCTGCAGTGGAATACAAAAATGTTGTCTTAGTGAACACCCCCTATTGTTCCATGACAACCTACTGTTCAGTCAGTGAACTAGTCATCTGAGCCATATCAGTAAGGAAGTGAACTGTCTGAGCGTCAGAGTCATTAAAATGCACCAACTGAAAATTCCATTGGCAAATTGGACCTTGTGCTGTATGTTTGCTTTTGTGCACACTTAGTGAGGACGAAGTAATAGAAAGTTTAAATCCAGACTGATATTAATCTGATGTAGTGTGCAGGTCATGTGGATGTGCATATCACAAGCGTTCCAGGGATACAATCATCTCTGGTTGCCAGGCAATGAGGCACAATGCAGTTCCCGTGACGACAGGGGCTGTAATCCCGTCTCCAGGCAGAGAGTCACTTGTCATGAATCACAACTGTGGTAATCGAGATGAGATGACACCCAGACACGCCCACTACCAAACAGCCCAGCGAGAGAGAGAGAGCGAGAGAGAGAGAGGTGGGCAAGACATATCATGACAGAATGAAAGAATAAAGGAGAGACTGGAGACATTTAAGGTACAAATGAGGAATATATCCGAGAGAGAGAGCTGGAAATACATAAAAGTGGCTGATAACAGGACAATCGATGAGTGTGGTTATATAGATTATCTTACATAGAATATGCTTAATAATAACCCAATACTGTGTTGGTCATATAAATGCCTTAAACTCTATTCTTATCAGGTAAGGTAAACCGAAATGGTTTAAGTGAAACCTGATCAGCACACCCCTATTACTCAGATTTCAGTCTTCTGGTGGCCAGTATTATTTATATACTATTACAGTATTTATTAAGTAGTATTTTTTGCTTGCTTGCTTGAGTGTGTGTGTATATATATATATATATATATATCACAGAAGTAATGAAATTCATGATGTTACAGGAACGTTTTGAATGATGAAACATGAAGACAATAAACACACAACTGCGACAATATATGGTTTATCTGTGTTTTTCAAGCCATCTCTGGTATTTTTATAATAATTAAGTGTATTTATAATCATTGCTAATCAACATGCACGTTATAAGCGGGGGGCACTTCCTCATCTCAGCGCGCAGACTCACAGGCACACAAACAGTCAATGCGGAGAGAAATAAAACGCACGCAAATTATTTAAATGCACAACCGAAAAAAACACAATTCAATTGAATATACAGTATATAGTTTAACTTTAAAAAGTTTTTTTTTTCCATTTTAGTTTAAGTATTTTTGTTATGTGCTTTTGTCTTTTATCATATTTATAATTTTTTATATTTCCAATTAGCTTTATTTTTTTATTTCAGTATTTAAGTTCATAAATTTATTTTAATTAGTTGCCAAGGCAATATTTCAAATTATCATTTAAGTTTTTTACATTTATGTTTTTCATCTAATATCTGCATTTTATTTCATGTTTATTTCAATTAACTTTAAATTATTTTTAAAGTTTTAGTTAACAATAACAACACTACTGGTGGCTCATTCAAAGAGTGCATGTCTGTTTATGTTTATGTCTACTCTAAAAATAAAAAAATATGATTTCAAAATCTTACA